GAGAGAAGGTAGTGTCTCAAAGAAGCTAACCCACGTGAATATCAAGAGAAAGTCAAGCCAAGAAAATATCTAAAGACAAGATTTAATCCCAGCCATTGATCTCAATCCAATGGTCCAAATAGAAGCCAGCCCAAATAAGTGTTAAAGAGAACCATCACAATAGGCCCAATAAGCTCACAAATGTCAATGTCGGTACAACACTTCTAAATATATATGCCAAATGTGGTTATGCATAATATGGTCTCAGTATTTTTGATGGGATATTGAGAAAACACAGTTACATGGAGTGCAATATTGGCGATTATGGAGAACACAAGGGGATGCTAACAACTGCCTGGCGCTTTCCAGCGATATGTTGAACGAAAGCATAGAACCAACTGATGTAATTTTCAAGAAAGGCATATGACATAGAACCAACCGCCATACTGGAATGATCAAAGAGGGGTGGAGATCTTTACTAAACAATGTGCAAGGCATATGACATTTTCCCTACATGAGGCGTTACGTATGTGTGGTCAATTTATTGGCTTGTTCTGGTAGACTCCAGAAAGCCTTTATTTTTATTGCGAAGATGGCCATTCAACCCGATGTCACTGTTTCTGGTGCTTTTCTTATGGAAGCAGTGTTCACTCTAGGTTCATTCTTGGGGATGTGGCAGTACGACAAATGCTCGACCTGCGTCGTCATGATGCAAGCAACTATGTGCTTATGTCAAATTTATATGCTTCTAACAGAGCATGGATCTAGGCCAGTCAAGTTCAAGATTTGATGAAGGCAAAGGGTTAGAGGAAGTTACTTGCATCTAGTCAGGTCGACATATACATCAATGTCGGCTTATATTCATAGATGGTGCCATCTCTGCATTACTTGTTGCTTTATGCGTCTCGAGGGGATTATTTTAAGGTTTAGTTACAGCCCAAATTACATTGAAGTGATCCTCTGGATCAATCAAGATTGTTCAAACTTGGATTAGGTTTGTTTATGAAGTAAAAAGATTGAAATGGTGTGGGAGTTCATCATGTGAAACGAATTGGCAATGGCTTAAATGTTTTGGGGGTCAAATCTTTTGGGGAGCCTATGATACTAATTTGAAAGGACATAATGACAAATCATTCTGGAAAAAATACTAATAACTATAGATTAATGCTATTTATCTAAACTGTGGATATGTGTCTATAAAGTGATTGGGCATCTTAAATGGCACCCATATTCTTAAATTTAATAAGTCCAACCATTTATTTAATACCATTTGATTGTCACCTAGATTGCTGATCATTGGAAGTCTAGATAGATATTATCATTCAATCATCATTCATAACTATATACAGCATAGGAAACAAAAAAAAATTATGATGGTTTCAATGAAGCGAAGCATGGAGTTGAATGAGCAGAACCGTTTTGGCAATAATCTTCTCAGTATGGTTGATTTGATGAAAGATGTGTTGGGGATTGAACCAATACAATACACAAGCAGCGGAAATAATAATATATCAATCCCTCAATGTGCAGAATTAA